GGTTGGACGACTTTCGATCATACCCAATAGGTTTTAAGTGCAGAAAATATGTATTAAAAGTCAGAATAACCCATAAGTGATTCTATCGACAGCCATATGGAATACCACTTTTAACTATGATCCTCACATCCTAACCTCTAAGATTTATCCAGACATGGAAACGTAAATCGACATGGTAAATAAGGTGCGATAAATAAGGGCGGTAAATAAATTGCGAGTAAATAAAGTGCAGGAAATAAAGTGCGAGTAAATAAAGTGAGATAAATAAAGTGCAGGAAATAAATGCCAATAAATAAAAGCGGAAAATAAATAGAAACCTGCTCCAAACGGGAAGTTTTAAATCTTTGTACAACTTGAAAAAGACTGAAATAAAATGGCGGCAGGATTAACTTCTACCAAAGTTCTCTGAACCCGATTACATACTCGATTAGACAATGTGATAACCACTCGACGTGAGAAGTTTATCACTATAAAACAGATGGAAATTTATGGTTGAGTTCTGTAACTAAGCTTGGATGCTTAGAAGTTCTGGGCAAAAAGGGCTTCTAAGTTCAAGCTGGGATGAAGCGATAGGTATTAACTCAGTGAACCATGGGTATCAGAATGACACTTCTCCGTAAATATGGATATATGCTTCGTTCTTACAAAAATCAATCTATACTACCCTATTGTACTGTAGCGGTAAAAAAATTGTGAGCGTAAGTTATTAATTAACTTAACTCAAAAAACAAGAGTCACCACCGCACTTTTATTTTATCCAGATAAAGGAAAGGAAAAAGAGCGAACAAAACCAAAGAGTTCTAAAACGAGAACAAGAAACAGAGATCGGGGTAAGGGGGTTGGTTACGCAATGGGAAGGTGTTAGCACCCAAAACGTCTATAGTACTCTATAGGAGCCCTTTGAAATATTTACGTTTTTTGGTTTGAAAATGGTTTGTTTGAAAAGAGATTGGGGAGATGAGAAGAGAATTATTTTTTTAGATTTTTGTGTTTGGAGAGACTTATTGCCTCATGCCTACGTACCCACAAAGTGCAATATAGGATCAAAACCCCGTAGTTCGTGGTACAAATGACAAAAATTTGTTGGTTTTGATTGATTTTAGATGTAAAGACAAGTCGTCATTTTAAGGAGAAAACTGCGACTATTCACCCACGAGTATTAAGACAACATCTGCGTCACATAAAGATGGAGGATTTGCTTGGATTATCAACAAGACTATCACTCAACATCAACGTGGAAAATGTCAAAGTCTTAATAATATGGGGAATAGGAGGCTTACATCTCAACTATAGAAATGAATCATGTCTAAACTTCTATGAAAAGTTTTAAAGTGAAAAAGTGCATAAAGGCACAAAAAGAGTTGATGAGTTTTTGTATTTTTTATGTCTTTTGAAATTGGTCAAAGCATGATTAACATTGATTGACTTTTATTAAGAAGAACAAAAGTTTAAAAATCACTTGACGAAAGTCAAGGTTTTATTGCAAAAGCGGTTTTGAAGTTTGAAACCAATAAGGTTTTGAAAGAGGGAGAAAGTTTTGAAAATTTAAGAAGGGGAGGAGATGAAGTGACTATCCTAGAAACCAAAATAAAAGCTAGAGGTAAGAAAGATCTAACCGACTTGTAACACACTCCATAGCAAGCAAAAAGAATTCCATCCGATTTAAAGCATAAGCTAATGAGCGAGCCAAATAAAGGCTAAGATCCATAATACTCCAAGCATAAGAATGAAAGTCCTAATTCTAAGTCCAAAGGTCCATGAAGTCCAAGGTCTAAGAGTAGTCCAAGAGCATAACCACAAAGTTAATAGCACCAAGTTTTTTTTTTAGAGATTTTTATCCTTTATTAGTGTTTTGAACGAGGTATGGTCCAAGTGGACAAAAGAGAAATGACATAAACATAAACAAAGATATGATATGAAATGATAATATGGAAGCATAAAAGTAAAGAAATAAGGAATAAGAAGAGAATAAAAACAAAATTAAACAGGGATATTGTTAGTGAATTAGTAATTAGTGGTTAGAACATATGATCAATGATGATTAATTCTTGCACTTAGACCAAGGTTAATGAAAACTCATTAGAGGATTGATAGAATCAAAGCCTCCTAACAATGATTTTCATAGGTATTGGACTTAAGACAAGCAACTAATCATACTTGGACTTTTAAACATAAGTTTGAGCCACGAATGATCATTTTCCGATTAAGGGACACTTTAGCGCTATGTTAAGCAATCGTAATCGGGTTTATGTAGAAACCACGACTATCTGAGGCCGGTCAATAATAATGTTAGTGTTAACACATGTTAGAGATGTGATATGTAAATCACTCTCCTAAAACATGCCACACAAAAAGAAAAGAGGTAGTGGTCTCATCATAATCAAGATTTTTCATCAATTAATCAAAGGTAATCTCTATTCCAAAGCACGGAGAATTATCTCAATGATTATTCATCCATAGATTTGAAATAATGAAGATTAAACAACCTTGATAATCAACAATCTATGATCCATGGATTTCATCTATCAAAATAAAAAAAGAAGAAGAAAGAGAATTAAAATGAAAAGAAACCTCAATTTGAATCTTAAATCGATTATATCATCATCAATATCAATCACCTCTCTTGGTGGATAAAATCGACACCCAAAGTCCATTGATATTGATGAGATCTTATCAAAATTTAAGATCCAAAACAAAAGCTATTTTTTTAAAAAAAATTATTTCAAAAGAAAACAAATATTAGAAAAATATTAAAAGAAAATTGAAGAAAATCTTTAAAAGAAAAATGAGAGGGAGGTTCAGTAGAAAAACAGAAGGTAATGAGGATCTAAATTCTACGGTCCAAACGGCCCAACCAAAATAGTGCATCACTTAAACAAAAATAAGAAATCAGAAAAGATAATCAATGAATCATTCATTATCTTCTCCAAGTTTTCACGCGGCACTGTTCACGGCCATGGATGCTTCAACGCTTGCTCAAATCAAAGCAGCGGGACACGAAAAGTACGCGGTTGCAATCGAAATGCAAAGTGAACTCCAAATATGTTCTCGATTTCAAATGAAACTCAAATATATAGGCACATTCAGAAGACGAAGTTTCGACGAAAACCGGTAACTACCTTCAATTTGAAGTGAATGATGATTGGATTTCTCTTCTTCTTCATGTTTCTGAAGATTTGTTGTATTGATGAAGATTTGCAGCGATCTGTGAGATGCGAAAATGAAATGCGGTTTTGGCGGTGATGGTTAAAGAAAAATATGAAGGACAATGTTGATGAATTTTCAACGATTATGAAGGTTAATTGAATGAAGCTTGAAGGTGATTTTGAAGACAATTTGGATTGAAGTTTGGTTTTATTTTTTGCAGAGTGATGAGGGGCTATTCAAGCTTGAAGAAATGAATGAGGTATGTGTCGTATTTATAGATTGAGAGTGATTTGCCGTTTTACAATTTTCTGTGCGTTTTTTTTTCTTGTTGTGATATTTTTTTTCATGTCGTTTTGATTTTTCTTTGTAGCTCACGTGTTATTCTTTCTTTCTGATTGCAGCTCAAATTCAAATTGTGACGTGGATTATTTTCTTTTTTTTAACACGTGACTTGAAGGCTTGGCTTGAACTTCATGATTTCAATATCACGAGCAAGAGTCAGATATCCTTCTCTTAACTTAGAATTGTTTATGATATCCTGCAACATTTCTCAGTAGAGAATCTATGAGTAAACCGATTAACAAATATATCCTTTGTTTCATCCTATCTCCTGCATATAACCCCAAACATCCACATGAAAAAACTGAACCAACGGAATGACATCAAAGTCTCTGCAAATTCCCTAGAATTAATAGTACAATGCAGAAGCAGAATCGAATGAAAAATTTCCAGCAAGCCCAGGATAATTTCCTATTCCATTTCATTGATGATTGTTGCAAGCCAGGGCAGTAAATGTGTTATGCATATATCTAGAACGCCGCTTCTAAGTTCTAGTTTACTAGTGAGAGTGGAGTTTGCATCATGACTGTAGGCATATGCCTCATTAAGTAGGTACAAGCATTGCAAAATTTGGTTGATATTCCTCTCAGAGACATAGAGACAAGCTAAAATTGCATGTTTGACTGCTACCAAAATTGATTTTGAGAGATCTAAAGCTCCATTACAAGTTAGAGATCTCATAAGAGCCACAAATACAAAGCAAGCCATTATAAATGTCCCAGGAACCATGCCCATCTCCCCATCAGAATGCTTTATAAGCATTCTTATCAAAACAAGGACAAGCTCCTCCAGCTGAGAAGTTGATAGAGCTCCAGGACACTCCTAAATGCATTCATAAATGAGCTTCAGTGTCTCACATTGAACCGGATGAAAAGGAACTTCAGTCACATAGCGCAGTACTGGAACCAGAGTTGAAAACCCAACAACCAGCCTTGGTCTAAAAGCTTCCTCTGAATTTGATAAAAGATTTAGTACCTGAAGGCATATCTTGACTTCTGGATCCTTATTCTCTGTTAGTCTCAATATTTCAAATAAATAATCTGCAATATTTTCTTCCACTAAGACTTGAATCTGATCGCCTGAAGTCCCAATTGAAGACAAATAATGAAAGAGCAGATAGAGTGCCGATTTGAACTTGACTCTCTGATGAAAGTAATGGGCCTTTGATTGCTTCAGCAAACAGATTAACCAGAGATGCTCCCTTGGTTCTATCTTCAGTTTCTTTAGAGCTAACTTCGCCAGCTAAAGACATGTTACCAATATCATATACAGATTCTTCCCTGAGCAACTGTCTTCGAGCAAGTATTATCAAAATCGGTTCTTGATATAGGTGGAGGAAGGATCTTTGAAGCAAGTCCCTGTGTGGCAAGATCCTGCATTGTAATTTGTACTGCATTGTGTTGCTTCTGTCTACATGGTATCCACATACCTTCTGGACTCTTGAAGAAAAACATGGCATCTTGGGTTTTACGAACAGGTTCGAATAAAACATCCTTAACACAGACAGATACATCTTAACCTGAAAACCCCTCTGACTTGCGAGCCAAGTGTTCAAAATCACTTTCAGTCAAATTATGAGGAGTGTCTCCTAGATGCACCTTGAACATGTGTTGGCGAGCCTTTAAATCTGGTAGTGGAATGTATATACGCTTATCAAAACGCCGCCTTATTGCCTGGTCTAGAGCATATGGTGTATTTATTGCTGCAAGAACGAGAACTTTCTGATCACTGTGTCCAACCCCCTGCATCTGCACCAGAAGTTCAGTTTTAATTCGTCTTGAAGCTTCACTTTCATTGCCTTCTCCACGCGTACCACATAGAGAATCTATTTCATCAACAAATATGATGGAAGGTGCACTTTCGCGAGCCATTTCAAAAAGATTTGAAACCAGCTTTTTACTTTCACCCATCCATTTCAAAACGAGGTCTGATGAAGAAACACTGAAAAACGTAGAATCGGCTTCAGTTGCAACAGCCTTAGCCAAGTATGATTTACCTGTTCCAGGTGGTCCATACAGCAAAAATGCTTTCCAAGGTCGTCTTTTACCGGTGAAAAAATGAGGAAACTTCACAGGCAAGATAACATCTTCCTGCAAAGATTGTTTAGCACTCTCCAACCCAGCAACATCATTCCACTTCACGTTCGGTTTCTCCCTCACAATCGCAGAATTCAACCCAACCCTAAGCTTCGACTGCTCGGGATCCTCTCCATCTCCCTCGCCATTCTTCGGCTTCGTTTTTGGCTTCGTAGCAACAGCAACATCCCCATTAGAAGCAGGTCCCGACCCACCATCATCGAGAACAGTTCGGATCTCCTCAGCGCGACGAAGATACTCAGTAAATTTCTGAGTAATAGCTTCTTTAATTTTGGGATTCTTCTCGTACTTGAGATGCGTTTTGAAATACTCCAACACGTTCATGTATAGAGGAAACGCTTTTGCGTAGTTTCCCGCATTATCTTCCTGTACCGCTTGTTTCACGTATTCTATTGCTTGCTCCTTGAAATTGCTATACATCTTCTAAGCACAGTTTGCAATGCCCAATGCTAGGCAAAGATCTCTGCAATCCAACGTGTGAACCAAAGGACAAATCCAGCTGACACCCAGCTGCTACAACTCTAAATATCTGATGAATGTCAGTGAAAAATGTAGTTGTATTGGCAACAAAAAAAAACTCTTCTTCGGAGTTTCTATTGGGGTATACATGAATAACTCTATCCTGTATTTCAAAGTAAAGATCAGACTTTCTTTTAGGTGTGCAGATGAAGTGGATAGCAATAATAATCTCAGGAGTGTGCTTGGTTGATCGATTTTGCATGGAACTATCTTCTTGAAGCAGCTTCTTTAAATATCCTTCTAACTGTCCACGTTTTCCAGGAGAACTCAAAACACTGGTTAACCGAAGCGGTAAGACACACATTGTAGAAAGCCTATTAGCAACGGCGGATCTTGGCCTTAAACCTGCACTTAAAAATACTGGTAGCATTATGCATGTCACGTAGGACTCCCCAAAATATTCAGAAACAGATGACAAAAACTTTGAAATCCGGCTCCGTAAATTATCTTGTTTCTATGGCAACAGGCTGGGCATCCGTATCAAGTTTGGAAAACACTCAACATGCATCCACTAAAAATGTAACCCATCCAACTTGTTCCCTGGAATACAATTCAAAGAATGGGATAGATAACACAGTTGGTGCAGTTTCTGTGGTGAACAAGAAGGGACAAGTGCCAAATGCTTTTTGGTGCACGAAAGGAAGCAATTCCATCAGCATTTTCAACAAAATATTTACTTTCCAATCAGCCATGAGCTCTCGATTTCGTTGTAACACCAACTTGACTATTTTCCACACACCTCCTGATTACGGATAGATTCAAAAATCAACCACTAAATAACTTGCAACTGAATCATCGACCATCAATTTTGATCTTTGATATAATTCTCTGAATCTCTGAACCAAAATTCTCATAGAACACTGCTTAATAAACCAATGGATTTCAACACAAGAAAATTTGATCTTGAACAATCATATTGCCTGAGAAAATAGCCCACTACCACGGGTCTCTTATGATTAAAGCAAACTCTTGATAGTCTGACCAAGATGAGGTCAAACTTCCATTTGATTTAGACTTGAATGAATGTCCTTGCCATCAATCTCCCTGCAAAATCCTAAACACACAGAGAAGAAGAAGAAACAAGCAAATTGAAAAATATTTTTGGTATTTTGGTTAGAGGTTAGTAAACATAATCAACAAAAAACAAGTAAGAAGCAGATAAGGGTGAGAAAGCCAAGAGTACGATCTTGTTTGTGGAATGATATGCAAATGAAATGTGGGATCTTAGGGGTAAAAATTAGGGTATTACATATACCTAGGCCTACTTTTAAATCTCCTTTTGGGTCCTTTTCATTCAGGCGCAATCACATTAAGCTCGTTATCCATATGTGCTCATAGTGAAGTGACCGGTTAGTGATTCTGATCTCAAGCATGGGGCTCTGGTACAAAAATTGGCGTATCCCCTTTTATTGACCCTATTGTAGTTATGGGGGATCGAATCGTAACCCGCCATACCGAGTTCAGCACCAGATACCTCTGAACCAACTATCAATGGGAAGATTTTTATTTTGTTTTGCTCTTATTATATTTTTTTTCGAAATTTTTACAACATTTTGGGTTAAATGACCTTGTGATGGTTACCTATACCCGAGTTGCAATTATCATTTTTGAACATGCAGATCATTCACCTATATTCATCGGTCCTTCACTTAGATCACGCTTTGGCTGGAGCTGACTGCTAGGATAAACTACTAAGGACTTATTATGAACATTATTATTAAGGCCACGGTACATAGGGTATCGGGGTTGATTTCTACATTCACGAAGCCTAAGGTGTTGCAATGATATCGATGTTTCAAAGAGGATTTTTCCAAATCATCTGCATTCTAACTCGAACTTGTTAGAACACAGATTGGTTCTTAATAATATCTCTATGTTTTGATGATAACTATTATGAAATTTTGTAATTAAGAATTATATACTCTAAAATTTGCTTAAGAATGTTTGCTGCAGATATTAAAGTAAATATCACTCCAGAAGCAAATCAGATATGAACATAAGAAATATGCAAGGCTCTGAAGCGTCAGATGCACCCATTAGAAGATTCTGAACGCTGCCATCAGAAGATCCTGAGCGTTGTCTCCAGAAGGATCTGAAGCAGAAGCTCCAGAAGGATCTGAAGCAGAAGCTCTAGAAGAATCTGAAGCAAGTCAGAAGCATCTGAACCAATGAAGAATTTTGTACGAAGAGTTTTCAAGCATAGTTACTTCAGAAGACTCTAAGAGTACTAACGCTGCCAATACTGAGGATCTGACCCAAAACTCTGCTCTGAACTTAAACACGCTAAAAGAACACTTGCTGCAAAGACTCTGATTCAGCAAAACTATGATCAACATCAGAAGGCTCTGATCAAATTAGACTCTGATGATTCTTGCTGAAAATTGTTGAAGAAGAATTCAAAGATTATGTCCGTTGGAATATCCAAACGACTCTTTCCTCATTTATGCTAGACACAATAACACAGACAAAAAGGATTTCTCTGTGCTTTCTTCTTCTAGGAAAGGTCACTTGATGTGAAGACAAAAAAGGCTCAGACCTTTTGGTACACACTTCTCAACGTGAAATACTCTTGGATCACTGTGCCTATAAAAGCAAGTCTCCACTCATCTTCTTCAGTTGACAAAAAACTTGAAAAAGAATTCATTATCAAAGCTCTCATACAACTCATATATTCTTTCTAGAATTATTTCTTTGTTTTTAATCTTAAGTGAAAAATCACAGTTGTGATAAAGCTTTATTAGAAGCATCTTAACACTTGTATTTATTATTACATTTGATTGTAAGAAAACCTTAAGAAGATCCAGTTAGGATCAGTAGTTCTTGAGAAGACTTTGAACAGTTGTTCTTAGTGCTTACTATTGTAATCAGTTGATTAAATAGTGGATTAAGTCCTTGTTTGAGAAAGGCAAATCACTCTAGAAAGGGTGGACTAGAGTAGTTAAGTTCAACGAACAAGGATAAAAATACTTGAGTTTTTACTTCTAAGTTTATATCTTCATACTTATTCAACCCCCCTTCTAAGTATTTTCTCACCTTCAGTTGGCATCAAAGCTCCGGTTCTGTGTGTGCTACCACTTCACAGTGACAGAAAAGATCCAGTAAGAAAAACTTTGATATATATTTGGTTGTTACTATGGCTGATACTTCAATATCTAACATTAACATCAAATATGAAGAAAGGGACAGAATCAGCACTAAACCCCCTATGTTTGATGGGGAGAAATTCGATTATTGGAAAGACAGGATTGAAAGTTTTTTCCTTGGTTATGATGCTGATTTGTGGGATTTGGTCATAGATGGATATGTTCATCCCATTGATGGGAATGGCAAGAAAGTAGATAGAAAATCTATGACAGAAGTCCAAAAGAAGGAATTTAGAAATCACCACAAGGCTAGAACAATATTGTTAAATGCAATATCTCACATTGAGTATGAAAAGATCACAAATAGAGAAACTGCATTTGACATGTTTGAGTCCTTGAAGATGACTCATGAGGGAAACTCTCAAGTCAAGGAAACAAAGGCTCTGGCTCTAATTCAGAAGTATGAAGCCTTCAAGATGGAAGAAGCTGAATCTGTTGAAGCTATGTTCTCCAGATTTCAAATACTTACAGCTGGACTAAAGGTTCTGGATAAAGGATACTCTACTGCTGATCATGTGAAAAAGGTCATCAGAAGATTACCTACCAGATGGAGACCTATGGTGACTGCACTGAAAATGGCTAAAGATCTGAACAAGATTTCCTTGGAGGAACTAATCAGTTCACTGAGGAGTCATGAAATTGAACTTGAGGAACATGACCTCAAAAGAAAGGTAAATCAATTGCCTTAAAATCTAATAAATCAGCTAAAGCATTGCTGGTAATAGAGGAAAGCTCTGAAGAATCCACATCTGAAGATGAACATGAATTATCCATGCTGTCCAGAAGAATAAACAAACTCTGGAAGCATAAAGGAATGAAGTTCAGAAACTTTAGGAAGCCTGACCAAAGAAAAGAATCTTCTGGACACAGAAGATCTAGCAAAAAGGAGGTTGTCTGCTATGAATGTAAAGAACCTGGGGATTACAAAAATGAATGTCCAAAGCTGTTGAAAGAAAAGCCTAAAAGAAAATCTGATAAGAAGAAGAAGGTTCTAATGGCAACCTGGGATGATTCAGATACATCTGAATCTGAATTTGAGTCAGAAGAGGAATGTGCCAACGTAGCATTGATGGCAGACATAGAAGATCAGGAGGAAGGAACTTCAGGATCTGAATCTGACTCTGAATCTGACTCTGACGCTGAAGAGGTAATGGCTAAACTCACTAAAGATGAACTTATCAAAGTATTATCAGAAGTTCTGAAGAGCTATAACAATATTAAGCTCAAATACAAGAAGCGTCAAAGCAACCTTGTATCTGAGAATAATATTCTCAAATCAGAAGTAGCTGAGCTAAATGAAAAGAACTTAAAATTGAAAAATGATTCTGAACTAGCTCAACAAAACTCTGATTCTGAAACTGAGTCTGAATGCAAAAATATTTTGGAAAAATATGACTACAGCTTTAAGAAGTTTCTTGCTAAAAGCATAGACAAAAGCAAAATGGCTTTTATGATCTATGGAGTTAGCAGAAATAACAGAAAAAGAATTGGATATAAATCTTCCTCTAGAAAGTATTTAAATCCAAAACCTGTTGAAAAAATTATCATCAAATGACTCCTTTATATTCCCACTTTAAATTTGGTCACTTGAATGATATTGAACACACTCGTTCTGAAAAGAACATTCATGTGTTTAAATCTAAGGCTAGTCAGAATAAACCTTATGTTGAAAAACAGAAGTTTAGACAAACCTTCAGAACAACTAACCCAAAAGGACCCAAGAAGATCTGGGTACCTAAAAGTAAAATAATTCATGTT